TGGAACAAAAGTGTGAAGAATATGAGCATCAATTAAAAGAGTTAAGAAATAAGGTTAAGGAACTTGAGGTTTCTTCGGATTCAAAAGATCAGAAGTGGAACATGAAAATGAACCGATTTCTGACTGTCATAACATTTCAATTCAGTTCACTACAGGTACACTTACAAATGTGTTAATGTCAATGTTATCTTGGTGATGTCAAACATTACAATTTTGTACTGAATTTGATATCATCCAGAAAATGAAGTTATCTTTGGAATCCACTAAGCAAAATGTAATAAAAGAGCAAACGGTTTATGCAGGGGAGTTGGATCTATTGGGTAGGTCTTGTTATTAGAATGTTACTCTACTGTTACCTCTTTCCTTCTTTGAAGATAACTCTGAACATTTGATTGTAAATTATCTGTTCAGGTGTAAAACTTAAACCACTTCTACAGGCAGCTGAAAACTACCACGTTGTTATGGCTGAAAATAAAAAACTGTTCAATGAGATTCAAGAACTAAAAGGTGGCATTATATTGTCTTTTCTACTGGGTTATTGATGTGTAAGTGTACTATGAACTCAGTTTTTTTATTATGATACAGGAAATATCAGAGTATATTGTCGAATTCGACCATCGGCAATAGGAAAATTGGAAAAAGAGTCTATTGTTGAACACGTTGGTGAAAATGATTTGGTTGTGGCAAATCCATCCAAAGAAGGAAAAGATACTCTTCGATCATTTAAATTTAACAGGGTTTTCAACCCTGCCGCAACTCAAGGTTTAATAACATAAACGCACCATTTTTTATGATTACTTCGAAATTACAGTTTCTCCCTTTTTTTTTTGTTTACATTCTAGTGTTGTACTAATGATAGTAATCTGAACAATGCAGCGGAGGTATACTCCGACATCCAAGACTTCACTAGATCAGTTCTAGATGGGTATAATGTGTGTATATTTGCTTATGGTCAAACTGGTTCAGGGAAAACTTATACAATGGTATGGACCTTCTCGATATGTTGATTTTCATCTCATACATCATTTATTGAAGGAATTCTTTATTCTATAAGATGCCAACTTTTCTCAGACTGGTCCAAATGGGGCAACAAGCGAGACTATCGGTGTTAACTATCGAGCTCTAAATGACCTCTTCAGGATTTCCACAAGTAGACAAAATATAGTGGAATATGAGATCGGAGTTCAAATGGTTGAGATATATAACGAGCAAGTCCGTGACTTGTTAACAACATATGCTTCACCAAAAAGATATCCTTTTTTCAGTAACTTTGAACATGTCAATCTTTGCATGGATTTTCTTCTTCTACATTTTGTGTCTCTGATTTCCTTAAATGCACACACTTGGGATATTGACTCAATCTCGACCAAATGGCTTAGTAGTCCCAGATGCTAGCTTGTTCCCAGTGAAATTACCTTCAGATGTTATTAAGCTAATGGAAATTGGACTTAAAAATAGAGCCATTGCTGCAACTGCTATGAATGAACGAAGTAGTCGTTCTCACAGGTTGCACCGGTTTTTTTGTCCTTACCTTTTTTATCATTCAACATTGAAATGAAAGATTTTCATTGTGATGACATCATGCAAACTTATGTACACAGTGTTGTCTCAGTTCACGTTACCGGGAAGGACTTAAAGACTGGTTGCACTATGGCTGGTAATCTTCATTTGGTAGATTTGGCTGGAAGTGAAAGAGTAGATCGTTCTGAAGTAATTGGGGATAGGCTCAAAGAAGCACAGCATATAAACAGATCACTAGCTGCCCTTGGAGATGTTATTTTTTCCCTTTCTCAAAAGAGCTCTCATGTACCATACAGAAACAGCAAGCTTACTCAACTTCTACAAACTTCTCTTGGTAAATCTTTATTAACCAACCTTGAATCTTTTCAAGGTAGACTTTCTTCTGATCTTTGAATCTTGCCTTTGATCTTACCACATAGGTGGTCAAGCAAAGACGCTCATGTTCGTCCAAATCAATTCAGACGTAAGTTCATATTCTGAAACTCTGAGCACTTTAAAGTTTGCTGAGAGGGTTTCTGGAGTTGAATTAGGAGCTGCACGAAGTAACAAAGAGGGCAAAGACTTTAGAGAAATGATGGAACAGGTACCCAATTGATTATGTTGGCATGACTGTTTTCATGTTTGTGAATGAGCCAGATGAGTAATCATCCCCTCCTTTGGTTGACTTTCTAGGTGTCTTCTTTGAAGAGCTCTATTTTGGCAAAAGATGAGGAGATTGAGAGGCTTCAAGCCATGAAAGGTTTAGCTGGTAGCAGAGTTAAGCGAAATATAATTCCACGAAGTAGAAGTAGTATCCAGTTACAATCTGCTAGCCCCCAACCAATTGATGATCATGCACAACAAAATGATTTTGTTGCAACTGCAGAAACTTCAGGATGTACAGATTCTGATTTTGACGGAAGATCAAGTGATTTTTCTGACGGTGGTGTTGCTGCAGGCACAGAAACTGATGGTTCTGAAAATTCCAGTCTCACTGAAGTCCCAAAACCACCATCAGAGAAGATGTGAGTAGTGCTTATTAAATCTTTACATCAGAAAGGAAATTAACAGAACACCACCTGCATCATTTAGTGGTCATACTTAAAATTTATTCGTTTCTTTTTTTTGCAGGTCTAAAGGACTTCGCAGAACTGTTCAAGCGATGAGGAAATTTGGCCGAACTTCATCAAACACAATCCCTACAATCCCCACCGCCGGCCCAGTAAAGGAACCAGTGAAGAAGTCATCAAGTGTGTATACGCATACTACGTTAACACTCTTCTTAACATCTATGCTCATTCAACTTTTCAACTTTGTTTCACAAATTTGATTTCAGGTATTAAAAAAAGCATGAGTATAGGCACCCTTAAGCCTCCAAAACTGTGGAAGTAAAGTAGGAAGCAGAAGCGACAATTCATATTTCACTTTCACTCTTTGACCACCGTGTAAATATTTCATTGGTATGCAATAGTTTACTTTTTTTTAGTCATGTTGGTGACACTTTTGAGGGTATTTGCATCCAACTCATCACTACAAAAGAAAAACATAGAAAATGTGCCAGTTTATGTATAAGCTTAGCATAGGACCTAAACACCATCAGTTTCAAATAAAATAGAAGGATTTATAGCATTCCAAGTTTATGTATAAGCTTAGCATAGTATCATTTTTTTTTTNGGTTTTCAACCCTGCCGCAACTCAAGGTTTAATAACATAAACGCACCATTTTTTATGATTACTTCGAAATTACAGTTTCTCCCTTTTTTTTTTGTTTACATTCTAGTGTTGTACTAATGATAGTAATCTGAACAATGCAGCGGAGGTATACTCCGACATCCAAGACTTCACTAGATCAGTTCTAGATGGGTATAATGTGTGTATATTTGCTTATGGTCAAACTGGTTCAGGGAAAACTTATACAATGGTATGGACCTTCTCGATATGTTGATTTTCATCTCATACATCATTTATTGAAGGAATTCTTTATTCTATAAGATGCCAACTTTTCTCAGACTGGTCCAAATGGGGCAACAAGCGAGACTATCGGTGTTAACTATCGAGCTCTAAATGACCTCTTCAGGATTTCCACAAGTAGACAAAATATAGTGGAATATGAGATCGGAGTTCAAATGGTTGAGATATATAACGAGCAAGTCCGTGACTTGTTAACAACATATGCTTCTCCAAAAAGATATCCTTTTTTCAGTAACTTTGAACATGTCAATCTTTGCATGGATTTTCTTCTTCTACATTTTGTGTCTCTGATTTCCTTAAATGCACACACTTGGGATATTGACTCAATCTCGACCAAATGGCTTAGTAGTCCCAGATGCTAGCTTGTTCCCAGTGAAATTACCTTCAGATGTTATTAAGCTAATGGAAATTGGACTTAAAAATAGAGCCATTGCTGCAACTGCTATGAATGAACGAAGTAGTCGTTCTCACAGGTTGCACCGGTTTTTTTGTCCTTACCTTTTTTATCATTCAACATTGAAATGAAAGATTTTCATTGTGATGACATCATGCAAACTTATGTACACAGTGTTGTCTCAGTTCACGTTACCGGGAAGGACTTAAAGACTGGTTGCACTATGGCTGGTAATCTTCATTTGGTAGATTTGGCTGGAAGTGAAAGAGTAGATCGTTCTGAAGTAATTGGGGATAGGCTCAAAGAAGCACAGCATATAAACAGATCACTAGCTGCCCTTGGAGATGTTATTTTTTCCCTTTCTCAAAAGAGCTCTCATGTACCATACAGAAACAGCAAGCTTACTCAACTTCTACAAACTTCTCTTGGTAAATCTTTATTAACCAACCTTGAATCTTTTCAAGGTAGACTTTCTTCTGATCTTTGAATCTTGCCTTTGATCTTACCACATAGGTGGTCAAGCAAAGACGCTCATGTTCGTCCAAATCAATTCAGACGTAAGTTCATATTCTGAAACTCTGAGCACTTTAAAGTTTGCTGAGAGGGTTTCTGGAGTTGAATTAGGAGCTGCACGAAGTAACAAAGAGGGCAAAGACTTTAGAGAAATGATGGAACAGGTACCCAATTGATTATGTTGGCATGACTGTTTTCATGTTTGTGAATGAGCCAGATGAGTAATCATCCCCTCCTTTGGTTGACTTTCTAGGTGTCTTCTTTGAAGAGCTCTATTTTGGCAAAAGATGAGGAGATTGAGAGGCTTCAAGCCATGAAAGGTTTAGCTGGTAGCAGAGTTAAGCGAAATATAATTCCACGAAGTAGAAGTAGTATCCAGTTACAATCTGCTAGCCCCCAACCAATTGATGATCATGCACAACAAAATGATTTTGTTGCAACTGCAGAAACTTCAGGATGTACAGATTCTGATTTTGACGGAAGATCAAGTGATTTTTCTGACGGTGGTGTTGCTGCAGGCACAGAAACTGATGGTTCTGAAAATTCCAGTCTCACTGAAGTCCCAAAACCACCATCAGAGAAGATGTGAGTAGTGCTTATTAAATCTTTACATCAGAAAGGAAATTAACAGAACACCACCTGCATCATTTAGTGGTCATACTTAAAATTTATTCGTTTCTTTTTTTTGCAGGTCTAAAGGACTTCGCAGAACTGTTCAAGCGATGAGGAAATTTGGCCGAACTTCATCAAACACAATCCCTACAATCCCCACCGCCGGCCCAGTAAAGGAACCAGTGAAGAAGTCATCAAGTGTGTATACGCATACTACGTTAACACTCTTCTTAACATCTATGCTCATTCAACTTTTCAACTTTGTTTCACAAATTTGATTTCAGGTATTAAAAAAAGCATGAGTATAGGCACCCTTAAGCCTCCAAAACTGTGGAAGTAAAGTAGGAAGCAGAAGCGACAATTCATATTTCACTTTCACTCTTTGACCACCGTGTAAATATTTCATTGGTATGCAATAGTTTACTTTTTTTTAGTCATGTTGGTGACACTTTTGAGGGTATTTGCATCCAACTCATCACTACAAAAGAAAAACATAGAAAATGTGCCAGTTTATGTATAAGCTTAGCATAGGACCTAAACACCATCAGTTTCAAATAAAATAGAAGGATTTATAGCATTCCAAGTTTATGTATAAGCTTAGCATAGTATCATTTTTTTTTTTGTTAAAAATGACTCACAAACAAAATACATTATATTAAAAGAAGAATATTACAACAGTGTAAGGCTTATAATTTAACAAATTAAACACATTTAGAAATATTGTATCTCTGTGGACAAAATTATGTGTCGTCATCTTTTCAATATTGTTCTTAAATGTTCATTTTTTTTATAGCAAAACCATTAATATAGACAGTATTAAATAAATGTTACGTTATAAAAAATATATTCACATCTATATCTAATTGATACAACACTCTTTTCCACAACATCTTTCACGTTACCTTAAAATAAAAAACAGTATTGAATAAATGATACGTTAAACAAATGAAATTTTAATCACATATCTATATCTAATTGATATCACACTCTTTTTCACAACATCCTTAAAATCAAATCAGAATTGAATAAATGTTACGTCAAAAAAACTGAAATTTTAATCACATCACCTTAAAAAACAAATGAAATTTTAATCACATCACCTTAAAAAACACATGAAATTTTAATCACATATCTATATCTAATTGATATCACACTCTTTTTCACAACATCCTTAAAATCAAAAGAATTGAATAAATGTTACGTTAAAAAAAATGAAATTTTAATCACATCACCTTTTTAATCACATCACCTTAAAATAAATCAAAACAGTATTGAATAAATGTTATGTTTACAAAAATGAAATTTTAATCACATCACCACCGCAAATACTAAAAAAACGAAATTTTAATCACTTATCTATATCTAATTGATACGGAACTCCTTTTCACAACATTCTCACATTACAACAAGTGGTCCATAATTGAAACACAAGCAGCCCCTCAAATCTGACCATAAATAACTCTTTGTTCCTAATATACTCTTAATCCAAAAATCAATATTTTTTCTTCATATGTCTCTCTCTTCAAAGAACCAAATCATCGGGGCGAGGTGCGTTGAATACACAGATTCTTAGAGATTAATATAACATCATATCAAATAGGCAACACCGAAAAGGGCACCCACAAAATATTAATAAAAAAAACTAATGTACAAAATTCCAAAAAGACTAGTTTTTCTCAATCTCCTCCAAATTACAATTACAACGGGAGGATCTGAGTGACAGACACAACAAATTGTAAGACTCTACGAACCTAACAAGAGAGATGTCCATTTTTTTCAACGCCAAGTCCTTTTTTTATTGATCACAAGGAATAACAACAGAAAAGCCACCCTTCCCCCATCTTAAATGTTGCATGACACCAAACTCTGAAAACAAACTTCCATAGATCACTTGTATATACAGATAGTACTCTAACAGCATGATTAGCCCCTCTTTCCAAACAAAAATAAGTCACCAGCTATTTGACCTTCATTGACTTTTAGTCCTCTACCATCTTTTCTCTGCTTCTGTATTAGTTTTCTCTCTTTTCTTTTATTTTTTCTTTTGTGCAAAAATGGATTATGCCACAGCAGAGATGCTGCAGCTGCTCCTATCTCTGTTAAGACAGTCAAAACCTTCTATCCTCACAGCAGCTTGAGTCTGACCAAATTTCATTGGAACACAGCCTCGAGCTGAGGAAGAGACAGAAGAGGATGTCTCGGTAAATGGACTAAAACTCCCATTACCAAATGGACTAAAATTCCCATTACCAAATTGCTCATCTTGAATTACAGGATTCGAGGCCCTGGTTGGAGGAGATCCACAGAAAAACGGTGGTGATGATGCTACCACTTGCCCTCCGGATCTTGCCAGATAGCAGCTTTCCTGACAAAAACAAATCAGAGAATAAGTTTGGTTAGGTTACATCATTTCCACAAGTCCCAGAAATTGATCACAAAGATGCCATCATACATAAGTCCTCATCATGAATCATTATCACTACAAATTGACTCAATGCTTATTTACTCGGACTCAATTCCTCACACTTGCTCACATTCCAATGGAAATGTCTGTGGTCCAAATTAATTTGTTCAAAAATCCCAAATGACATTCAATAGGTTAAAATAAAATTCAGTTTTATTCAACTGCAAAAATAAATGTAACTTTGAAGTATTCTAAGAAGTCAACTTTAATAATGCAAGTTTTTTTTTTCTGTTTCCGAGGGAAAAACTTAGCTCTACAGAAATCAACACTGATTCGAGGGGCATCAGGAGAAAACATTTTTTATCATAGAAAACCTTTTTTTTTATCATATATAATAACAGCTGTTTCTCAGAGAAATACTTGTAAAAGGAAAAAAATGTTATTATTTTTTCCTCTAAAAAAATAGACAAATTTCCTACCATTTCCGTACTCTAAGTTATGTTTCCTAGTACATAACAAAATAACAAAAGATTAATATAGAAAAGAACCTTGGGGAGGATGATGTCCAAAAGCTCTGCCCCAACTCCTGAATCTTCCACCTCGGATTGATAGCTGCATTTTTTTAACAACAAAAAAAAGTCAGAATTTTTATGACAAAATTGGCTTCAAACCACAAATAAAAATGGCTAAAAAGGAAAAGGAAGAGAGAATTACCTGATGGGGTGTCTAAAGGGTCTGATGTGTGTGTTGATGGAAGAGTGGTTCATGAGACCTAATCGTCTAGGTTTGGGGCAAATCACTGATTCCATCCTCATCTCCTCACAGCTTGTGAAGGTGTTCTTCTCTTGGTAGCCGTAATAGTTGTAGCTATTCATCTTTTCACAGATCTTGACAAGGAACACCTGCAACCACATCAAACAACAAATTAAAAAATTTATTTTCTAATCACAGGTTGCTTTGGTTTCAGAAGCAGGGGATAAATTGAACTAAACCAAACCAAGCAGTAAAAAGAAAAACTGAAAGAAAGAAAGTGATAAAACTGTTATCAGAAAGAAACCCGTTTTCACAATTTCCTAAATCCACCAGCCCGTGAAAAATAGTGACACTTGAATGAAAGAAGACATGAAAAACACCGACCGTCTTCTCAAACTTTCTTTATTTTCAGCAGATGAATAATCTCAAAAGACTTTAAATTTTGAGACTTCACCAACACAAAAACAAAGATAACTTTGCCAGTAACTTTTTTTGTGAACAAAAGACACAAAGAAGGGTGTGTATATATAGAGAGAGTGGAAGAGAGAGAGAGAGAGAGAGAGAGAGAGAGAGAGAGAGAGAGAGAGAGAGAGAGAGAGAGAGTACCTGAGCTGCCTATCACAGAGTGAGAGGGGCAGACTGAGAGGAGAAGAGGAAGGCGGAGCAGAAGAAGAGAAATGAGTGCAAGAGGGAAGGATAAGAAGGGATTAAGGATTTTATACAGTAGGTGAAAGTGCAGCGGTAAGATGTGAGACCTCACTTGTGGAACATCGATGAATGATTGAGATCTGGGATTCTGTCTAATGTGATATGTCTGTTTTGTGAGTGGTGACGCGATGTCATCCACACGTGGCCATGATTCTCTCGTT